TCATTTCCAAATGGAAAGCAGCTTGTTTAGAAATAATTTATCAACAAATCATGTTCTCTTCAATTTATCTTCATCATAAATTAAATGCCTATAAATAAATGGGTAATAAAAATATAGAATACAGAAGATCAGCATTAGACTGTCAAGTTAAAATTAGGGTCACGGGAGGAGCTTACTATAAGTTAGATGTTTTATGTTCATTATCTCAGTTAACCATAATAACCCTGATAAATAGGTTTAAGCTCCCTTTTACAGATGAGTCTACTGAGGTTTAAAAAGGTTAAGTAACTTGATCACAGACACAAAGCTAATAAGTGTCTGACACTCAGTTTTGAACCTAGTTCAATCAACTTCAAAATTTAAGCTCTGTCCACAGTACCCCGTAGAGCAATGAGAAAGGGATAGAAAAGCAGTTTAGGATTTACAGCCTGAAATACAATAGGGTCTGATGGATAGATCATTCCAGTAAGGCCTAAGGGTCTCGACTACTTGACTGCCCCTTCAGATATCTCTTCCACTGCCAGACCCAGGCCTCCAAGTAAGTTACATACCTTATCATTTTCCTTTGGGTGCTCTGAAAGTCAAAAGCTGGCCCATATATCAGTAGTTCAGTTACAAGTCTACTGATGTGATCCATCAATACTGAAAATAGAGATGAGCCAAGGGGAATAGTGAAGGTAAATCAGCACAATACATTGTTCAAAAGCAGAGGAAAATACTGTGTTTCTATATTTTGATAAAGAGTAGTGGAAGAGAAAAGCAGAAAAACAAAGGACAAATGAGAAAGTAGACTTAAAGACAATTGAAGGTGTACTGAAACAGGTGTATTTTTCTATAAAGTGTAGCTTTTTAAAGAAAAAAACCTATGTTCTAATGAAAAGCAATGGAAATAATTATGATTTTAAATAGTTGCTGACCCTGTGTCCAAATACTGGTATTTGTGCAGATCTTGAAAAGAAGTAGAGAAATTGTGGCTTATTGTTATTTTAGGAAAAGTAGTAAGAACTAAATAAATGTTTTGAATGTTTACATTAATGTGGAATGTATGAACCATGCATCAGCATGCTTTGAGGAAATGCTTAGTTCTCAGAGTGAAGACTGCCCCCAGTTAAAGCATTCCAAATTTATTCTTAACTTGTTTGCTCACTAGCCTTAGACATTCTTCTGGAGACTCAATGTTACCATCTATTAAATGAGAAATTTGGACTATATATGTTCTAATAATAATAACCACTACCTTTTATATACTAGGACCCATACTAGATGCTTTAAGTTTTCTCACTTGAAGTGTGTGTGTGTGTGTGTGTGTGTGTGTGTGTATGTAATATTGCCTATCTTATTAATGAGGAAACTAAAATTCAGAGAGTTTAGATCTGAGATTTGACCTTGACTCTATTTAGTTCCAAACCTTTTAACCACTGTGTTATTTTGCTTATCTATGGGTCCTTCAACCGTAATATGCTGAGATTCTGTTTCCTTGAGTCAGATCAATAAACAGATGAAAGTTAGATGTAAATCCTTGAAAGTTAGAGGAATTGATTATTGTCTTACTTTTATCTTTATCTTGAATGCCAAGTACATTTTAGGCCTGGCTGAATTCAAGTGAGAGGAACCAAACATTAATCATAATCTTTGTAAGGAGGATTGTATTTTATCATTGCATTCTGGTGGCCACCACTCATGCGGTCCTCTTTCCACCATGATTAGCATGGTATTTTGCGTGTCATGTACACTCAGCAATTTTTGACTGATTACAAATAGAAAAAGGCTCAAAAATGATCAGTTCTTTTTGGTAGAAAATTGGACTCAGTGCTTTCATCCAAACACAACAGCTGTTTAATGTGGTGGGCTGATAATTAATAGCCACAAGTTTGAGGTTAAGAGTCACCTTTCAGAGCCAGGAGAGGCTCAGAAAGGTCACTTTTAAGTCACAAAAGAAATATTTTGTAAATTTTTATTTATAGAACCGATGGACTTTCTCATGAATGCTAGAAGAAACCTCTCAAATAATTGTTTTAGCCTTAAGGGGGCCCAAATAATTTCTGTATATATTTTTAGTTAAGAAGAGTCATACATAAGATTATTATCTTACTGAATAGATATTATGTGTCAAATAAAACTTTCTACCAACTGTGAAAGGTAGGTATTTTAGACGGCATTTTTATTCCAGTAATAGTTCTTCTTGACTTCATTAGAGACAAATGAATATTTGCCTTGATAAAACAACCAATGTAAGTTCTATTTAATCATGATGAAATAATCCTATGCACTCATTTGTCCTTAGTGTACTGTATATGAAGTGTGTTTGTTTGTAATCAGCCAAACTTTAAGTATGGCCACTTAACAAAACTGGGCATATCACAGATATCAGTTGGAATCTTTCCTGATACCAGAAAAAATATACAGATTACCATCAACTTTAAAAAATAATATTATTTGATAATGAATATATTTCCATGTCTTTCTACAAAAAAAAATCAAAAACTTCTCTAGGGATTCTCTAATGTACCTTAAAGTATTACTAATAATGTCTAATTTGTCATCTGTGACATGAAACTAATTTTCATAATGCTTGGCATCTAAACAGCCGTGACTGCACCTGTTGCTGGGCTATCCCCTCAGGGAGTGGTTTTAGTGCTGGGGAAGACCCAAATAATTTGATAGTAGAAGGAAGAGAAAATGGTTTAAAACGTTTCAATTATTGTTTCTACAAACGTATTGCAATAATGTCTTTACTTCCTCAACTCCCTTTATCAACCCAGTGCTATTTTGCTTTCTTCTCTAAACTATACTGAAGCAGAACTTGCTAGGTCACAATTAACTAAGTGTCAAATTCCATGAAGAGATTTAGGCTCTTATGTGACCTCTTAATAGGACTTGACACGGTTGATCAAGGGAAGACCCAAATAATTTGGTAGTAGAAGGAAGGGAAAGTGGTTTTTAGAACATTTTATTTTTTCTACAAACATATTGCAATCATGCCTTTACTTCCTCAATTCCCTTTCATTTATCAATTCAGTGCTACCTTGCTTCCTTCTCTAAACTATACTGAAGCAGATCTTTCTAGGTGACAGTTAACTAAGTGTCTAATTGCATGAAGAGATTTAGACTCTTAACTTATGTGACCTCTTAATAGGGCTTGACACGGTTCATCATCTTGATGATCTCTGCCTTTTGGCTTCTCTGATCTCTTTTTTTATGTTCTCTACCCTTTGACTATTACTTGTCAGTACAGACAGTTCCTGACTTACAATAGTTCAGCTTATGATTTTTAGCTTTATGATGGTGAGTAAGTGATACATGTTTAGTAAAGGTGTACTTTGAGTATCCATTCTTCTTTTCACTTTCAGTACAGTATTCAATAAACTACATGAACTATTCAACACTTATAAAATAAGCTTTTTTGCTCAACTTAAGCTCATTTAAGTATTCCGAGCACATTTAAGGTAGGATAGGCTAAGCTGTGATGTTCAGTAGGTTAGGTGTATTAAATACATTTTCAACTCAAGACAATTTCAATTTATGACGGGTTTATTGGGACAAAATCTCATCATAAATTGAGGAGCATCTGTATTTGTTTATCTTTGTTTTCCTGTTAATTGTTGGATTTGTTTTTTACTCCTGTGAAAGTTAGTTTTATGTGTCAACTTGTCTAGGCTATAGTGTTTGGCTATTCAGTCAAACACCAATCTGGGTGCTGCTATGGAAGTATTTTATGGATATGGCTAACATCTGCAATCAGTTGAGTTTAATGGAGATAATGAGAATGCGCTCAGTTGGAAGGGTTTAAGAGCAAAAACTGAGGATTCCTAGATAAGAAGAAATTCTGTCTCAAAACTGCATTAACTCCTGCCTGAGTTTCTGGGTTTCCAGGCTGCTGATCAGCCCACCTTAAAAATTCCAGACTTCCCTGCCCTACAGGTTTCAAAATGTCAGCCCCTACAGCCATGCAAGACAATTCCTTTAAATAAATCTCTTTTAAAAACACACACACTCTCATATACAGATACAGATACAGTTATGCCTCAGGATCCATGAGGAATTGGTTCTGTGTCCTCCATTGATACCGAAAGCCAAGGAAGCTCAAGTCCATGATATAAATGACATAGCATTTGCATATAACCTATGCACATCCTCCTGTATGAATCATCTCTAGATTACTTATGATAATCAATACAATGTAATTACTGTGTAAATATACCATGTTATTTGGCCAATAATGACAAGAGAAAAAAGCCTTTACATGTTCATTACAGATACAATATTTCTTTCAAATATTTTCAATCCATAGTTTTTTGAATCAGCAGATGTGGAACCCACCGATACAGAGGACCAACTGTACATCCTATTGGTTCTGTTTCCCTGGAGAACTCTGATTACAAATCCTTTTATCACTTTATTCATCATGTATTCTCTAATTCTCATAATTCATCTATTTCACTTCTTCAACTATGTTCATATAGATCTTTTACTTCAGAATATTTACCCCAGTCTTTTATTTGAACTCTTAATCAACATTTTCAACTATTATACATCCCTATATTGATATCCCAATTCCATTTTAAATTTAACATGTCCAAATAAAAATTTTTAAAAAGAATTCCCACCTCAACTCCCTTCTCTTCTTATTTCCAATCTCAATTAATGGCAACTCTACACCTAATTATCCTATGTAGAGATCTCTGAGCTATTCTTCATTACTTGCTCTCTTTCATCTTGATTTAATAAGTCTCTTAGTTTGGACAGCATTTTCTTCCTTAGTAACCCTTAAATTTAGTCCTTTGTCACCACTTTCACTGCCTTGGGTTGGAATCTTCCTACTCATTTCTTGCATGTATTTTTTATTTTACCTGATTATAATTTCTTACTTGATCACTGTGTTCACCATTGTCCTTTTCTTTCATATTATTTTGCACAGGAATAACAAAGGTTATTCCTCTTGTCATAACTGTTGCATCATATTGTAATTATTTGTTTACATGTTTTGTCTTTTCTTCTAGATTTGGAGTCATTCATTACATTTGTGTTGTAGTAGTTTCCTGCCTCACTATAGCTCTGATGCAGCTGAAGTGTTTTGTACTTGGCTGAAAACTGTTCTCCCAAAATTCATGCCCATCAGGAATCTGTAAATGTGACCTTACTTGGAAATAGGGTCTTTGTAGGTGTAATCCAATTAAGATGAGGTCACACTGGATTAGAGTGGACCGTAAATCCAATGACTGGTATCATAAAAAGAAGAGGGAAATTTGGACATACTGACACACAGGGCGAAAGTGGCCATGTGAAGAAGGAATCTAAGATAGGAGTGATGCCCAGCTCTAAGCCATGGGATGCCAGGGATTGCCTGAGACCACTGGAAACAAGAAGAGGCAAGGAAGGATTCTTCCAGAGCTGTTGGAAGGAGCATGGCCCTGTAGACACCTTGATTTCAGGCTTCTGTACCCTGGAACTGCGAGAGAATAATTTTCTGTTGTTTTAAGCCACTTGGTTTGTGGTAATTTGTTACTAGAAAACTAGTACAAAATTCATAGTCCCTTCATGTTCCTCATTTTCCTTGGTTTAAGGAAGGCTTAACCATACCTTTTAAATTTTATTTTTATGTATTTTAAAGACAGGGTCTTGCTATATTGGCCAGCTTGTCTTGAACTCTTTGCCTCAAACAATCCTCCTGCCTCAGTCTCCCAAAGTGTTGGGACTACACATCCCCTGTACCTTTCATAATAAAATTCTTGCATCAAATTTTAAGAGTCCACCAAGATCTTCGTGAGCTCTTTTCCCTCCTCTTTCACTTTACCGAAGGCTTAATCCAAAACCCTTTGCCCTTCTCTTCATTTTTTCTCCCATTGTGACCACTCCCATTCTTGTGATTTTAATCACCACTTCTATGTTAACTTATAAAGCTGAATTTCCAACTTTAACTTCTCTTTTAACCTGTAAATCCTATATTTTCAGTAACTGTAATATATATATATATATTTTTGCAACACACACTGGGACCATTTATTTAAAAATCAAACAGAATTTCATTTATATTTGTCACATACTCAGTCAGGGCTGGAAAATGGCTGATGAGACTGGTCAGTTAGGCAAGCGCTAGTCCCAGTTCCAGATCCAGTATTCTGGTGAGCTTCTGAGGGATCTGAGACAGCGAAAAACACAGACCACCCAGCACCACACGTCGCTGTAGCTAACAGGTTGAACTGGATCTCTTCTTTTCCCTCCAGCCTGCCTACCCCAAGCAATGCCTCTCAACCCTTTAACTGAAGGCAGTAACAATAACATTAACTTTGGCCTCGTTTTCTCTCCCTATTTTGACCTATTCTTAAGTGGATATTCTAGGGAATAAAGAAATAGCCAAAAGCAAAAAATCATGAGTGCTTTTCAGAGAGGAAGAGATCCTGGGAAATCTATGGACACAGTAAAGGTGCCTTTCATATTGGGAGTAGTAACTATAATTTTTAATTCTGTATTTTAAAGAATGTTATAGGCATTTTTCTAGCAAGAGCCACATTGCCACTTAACCCGGGTGCTGAAGACTTTACATACATATTAAATATTTGCAAAAACCTTATGAGGCCAAACTTTATATTCCCCAATTTAAAGATGAGAAAGTTGTGTAAGGCACTGAATGGTAAAATCACTTGCCAAAGTTCCAACAGTCAGTAAGTAGTGGATACAAACCCACAACAGTGTGTTTTAAGCACATAGGCAAACTAGACCTCTTTGAGAATTTGGTGAAAACTATGGTCGTTCACCACAGAAATAATATAAAAAGTTTTCTATGAAATATTAGAAAGTTCTTACATTTTAGAAGTCTACTTATGGATCCCAGGTTAAGAACACTTGTACTGGATTAGCTGGGTGTCATAGCACATGCCAGTAGTTTTAGCTATTTAGGAGACTGAAATGGAAGATCACTTGAACCAGGAGTTCAAGACTGCAGTGAGCTATGATTATACCACTGCACTCCAGCCTGGGCAATAGAGCAAGACCTTGTCTCTAAAGAAAAACAAAAATTAAACAAAACCTATCTTTTTTGTAATGATCTGAGTCACAATAAATATACTAGTAATAAGAAAAACATAGCTAGATTCAATAGTCTGATTTTTTTCATCAATTTGGTTCTCTAGGAAAGTGTAACTTATTTTAGCAAATTAGTAGATCTTTATTAAAAAGAAAATAGTGAACATCATGCTCATTCATTTAACACAAATGTAATGAATGACTCCAAATCTAGAAGAGAAGACCAAACATGTATACCAAAAATTACAATATGATTTAACAGTTACGACAAGAACAATAATCTTTGTGAACTGTGCAGAATAATATGAAAGAAAAGTACTGTGTTGAATGCAGATATCAGGTAAAAAATTATTATAATCAGGTAAATATAAAATCCATGCAGGAGATGAATAGGGAGATTCTAACCTAAGGCAATGGAAGTGGTGAGAAAGGATTAAATCCAAGGCTTAATAAGGGGGAAAATGCCATCTGAGTTTAGAGGCTGATTAAATCAAGATGAAAGAGAAAAAGGAATGAAAAACAGCTCAGAGATGTCTACATAGGATGATTAGGTGTAGAGATGCCATTAACTGGGATTAGAAATAAGGAGAGAAAGGAGTGAGGTGGGGAGAAAAAAACATTTTATTTGGACATGTGATAAGTTGTTATGGAGATAGAGATTCAGAAATAGATATATAAACACAGGTATTATATAGTTATAAAACCTAAGCATATTTTTAGGCAAAAGTGGGTGATAAAGAGGGAAGGTTATCAAGTATAATTGTCGGGGGGTTAGTTGGATAGAAGACTGGATACCTATTCCTCTGAGATAAGAGGACAGACTGTATTCTGCAGTTCCAGTAACAGTTCAAGAAACAAATGACTATTAATTATATATTATTAAAAATAGTATCCACTTTAGTATTTGTCTGATTTTAAATTGTAGATGTCAGTTACATATTTATCCAAGAGATCCTTTATTTTCAAAAGCAAATCCTAAAAGCTTATAATTAAAATTGACTATAGCCTACATGTTGGAATCCAGAGTGGATTTGTTAATTTTCTTACAGAAAGTATTTTAGGCCCACCAAGGAACTTAGTCTAGAATAGTTAGAGCCTATAATTTCACACTCTTTCAAAGTAAGCATACAAAAAAATAGTTCTTTTAATCAAAGTACGTAAGTGATTAAATCCTAGTCGATTGCAAAATGTGTGTTTCTGTGATATCATATGTTTTTCAAAGCTTCCTTAGCATGGTAAAATTCATCATGACATCATCGTTTGTGAGAATCTTCATGAGGGTGAGGACAGCCTAAATAAGTGAAGTTTCCTGATAATGAAATGGCTTTGTTTCTATGGGTCTTGATTTAGTTTTATTTGTTTATTCAAATCAATGAATAAATATACATCCGTAGAGACAATATATTCAGATTGTACATGTATATTTAAAACCTTCCTTTCCAACTTTATTTTACAGATTTGTTCAACTTCATTTAAATCACTAGAATATAATTAAACACTGCCTTCTAAACTGGAGAAAATAGGCTGTTCTCACATGGTTGGGCTTACTTAAATAACAATAGCTTTAAATAAAACTAGAATATGTTTCTTGAGATACTGTATGGCTCGATTTTATATTAAAATTCAAAACATTGACATTTACAGTTGTAAGGGACCATAGAGGTTATCAATTTGTGCCCCTTTTTGGATCAAGAAATAATAGTTCAGAGCAGTTCAGTAGGTTACCCAGAGCCAAGAAGAATTATATAGTGGATCCTCTATACCAAGCTCTGTTCTAAACATTTTCCATACATTTTATATATTACCTTAATTCTTAAATTCACAATTTTACAGATGAAAAAATAAATACTCAGAGGTGAAGTCACCCAAAAACCCTCACCTAGTAAGTGATGGCCCTGGGATTTCAACCCAGGTATTCTTCCTTAGAGTCAGTGCACTTAACTCTGCTCCCAGTTTCTACAAACGGCAGTGTTGAGACCCTGAAACCGTGTAACCTTCTGATATGGCTAGCCTTTTTGTCCCCACCCAAATCTCATCTGGAATTGGACTTTTAATTTTCAAATGTGTTTAAGACTTTGGGGGACGATTGGGAAGGCATGATTGGTTTTAAAATGTATAAAGAACATGAGATTTTGGAGGAGCCAGAAGTGGAATGATACATGGTTTTGCTGTGTCCCCACCCAGATCTTATCTTGAATTGTAATCCTCATAATCCCCACTTATCTAGGGAGAGGTCTTGGTGCGAGGTGATTGGATTGTGAGAGTGGCTTCTCTCATGCTGTTCTTGTGATAGTGAATGAGTTCTCATGAGATCTGATGGTTTTAAAGAATCTGGTATTTTCCCTGCTCATGCACTTCTCTCTTCTTCCACTAACTGAGGAAGGTCCTTACTTCCCCTTTGCCTTCCGCCATGATTGTAAGTTTCCTGAGGCCTCCCTAGCCATGTGGAACTGTGAGTCAAGTCTCTTTCCTTTGTAAATTACTAAGTCTCAGGTATTTTTTTATAGCAGTGCAAGAACGGACTACTACTACACATTCACACACACGCACACACACAGACACACATATATATATGCTAGGCGTAATATACTGATTTTATTGAATTATACTTATTTATGTAAATGCCAATCTCTGTCACTTAACTGAGATGTTTGATATATCTTCAATAGCAGGAACTATGTTGTATTTACCTCAATGAAGAGTTCATTACTTGGTACATAGTAGGTGCTGCATAATACTGAGCCAATTTATACATGAAGGATTTTTAGGAAGGTGAGTCTAGAGGTAAGGAAACAAGTTAGATGGAGAGTGATCTCTCTTTGAGTGATAATACAAAACAAAATTCAAGTGGTGAAGTGATTTTGTTAAGGGAAAACATTGAACAGATAAGAAAAACATTGCAAAGATTGGAGTTGGTGATTGACTGCTGTGAGTGACAGAGAAATCAAAACAGCTATATGACCAGTTCAGTCTATCACAAAATTTATTTGGTTAATCTTTTCAAATTTGGACTGAAACAAGATATGTTGTTTTGTTCTTTTTCTATGCATTGAACAATACCATAAATGTTGTCATATCCTTCTTTCTGCTTACTTGAGGTTTTATCTGTTCTTCTTTTTCTCATTTCTTTAGGTATATGCTTAAGTCATTAATTTTAGAGCTTTCTTCTTTTTAATATAATTATTAAATGCTATAAATTTCCCCCTAAGAACTGCTTTAGTTAGAGCTAATGTGGTTTTGATGTCTTCATTTTCATTTGTTTAAAAAAAAATTTTGAGACAGTCTCACTCCAATACCCAGGCTGGAGTGCACTGTGGCAATCATGGCTCACTGCAGCCTCAACCTTCAAAGGCTCAGGTGATCCTCCCACCTCAGCCTCCTGAGTGCTGGGACTATAGGTGCATACCACCATGCTTGGCTATTTTCAAAATATATTTTAAATTATTTATGATTTCTTCTATAGCCCATGATTATTTAGAAGGGTTTTTTAAAGTTTCTAAATATTTAGAGATTTTTTTCAGATATCTTTCTGTTACTGATTTTTATTTAAATGCAGTTTTGGTAAGAGAAATACTCTATTTGATTTACTTTTAAAAAATTCATTGAGACTTCTTTCTTTTGTGACCCAGAATCTGTTTTTTCCTTGGTGAATATTCCATTGGCATTTAAAAAGAATGGATATTCTCTATTAGGTAGAGTGTTCTATGTTAGTCAATTGGCCAAGTTGGTTGGTAGTGTTATTTAGGTCATCTACATGCTTAATGATTTTTTTTTTCATTTACTAGAGAAGAGTGTTAGAATATCGAACTACAACTGTCAGTTTATATATATATATATATATATATATATTTCAAGTTCTATTAGTTTCAGCTTTATGTATTTTTAAGCTCTTATTAGATGCATTTACTTTAAGACTGTTACATCTTCTTGATTAATTGATTTCTTTATCATTGTGAAATGTCTTTCTTTATATCTAATATATCCTTTGTTCTGAAGTTTATTTTAACTGGTAATAATATAACTACTCTGCCTTTCTTTTGAGTGATATTTACAAGGCATATCTTTTTCTATTCTTTTCTTTTTAATCAATCTCTGTCTCTGTTTTTAAGGTGAATTCCTTGTAAACAGCATATAGTTGGATTCTACTTTTTCAGATATCTAATCTGACATATTTTAAAATTATAGTCTAGAGCATTTACAATTAATGTAATTATTGATACCATTGGTTTTATGTCTACCATCTTTGTTTTATATTTATCTCGTCTGTTTTTTTTCCCTTTTTCTCTTTTAAAAAACTTATTAATTGCTTATTTAACTTCTACTATTAGTTGATTTTTTTTGGTTGCTGATTTTATTTTTAGTACATATCTTTAACTTATCATAGTTGACATTTAAATTATATTAATACTTTTCCTTATCCTTTATGCTCTTATTATCATATATTTTAAGGCTATATGTATTATCAACCTCATAATACATTATTATTTACTTTAAACAGACATAAATATCTTTTTAAGAAATTTAAAATGAAAAAAATTCTTTTTTATGTATGTTCACCTATATACATTTCTGTTGCTTGTCATTCTTTGCTGTAGGTCCATATTTCTTTCTGGTATCATTCTTCTCTGGCTGAAGAACTTCCTTTTACAGTTTTTGTGTGTGTGTGTGTGTGTGTGTGTGTGTGTGTGTGTGTGTGTTTGCATACACACACACATGTATGTTCATGTGTGTGTTCTTGGGCACATGTGTGCTGGTCTACTGGTGACAAATTCTCTTGAAAGAATTCATCTGAAAACTTCACTGTTTTCCCTATGTATTTGAAAGATTTTTTTTTTTTTTTTTTTTGAGACGGAGTTTCACTCTTGTTACCCAGGCTGGAGTGCAATGGCGCAATCTCGGCTCACCGCAACCTCCGCCTCCTGGGTTCAGGCAATTCTCCTGCCTCAGCCTCCTGAGTAGCTGGGATTACAGGCATGCGCCACCATGCCCAGCTGATTTTTTGTATTTTTAGTAGAGACGGGGTTTCACCATGTTGACCAGGATGGTCTTGATCTCTTGACCTCATGATCCACCCGCCTCGGCCTCCCAAAGTACTGGGATTACAGGCGTGAGCCACCGCACCCAGCCTGAAAGAAATTTTTACTGGCTTAGAATTGTAGGTTGACAGTTTTATTTTTTTCTATTTCCTTTCAGCACTTTAAAGAGGTCTTTTCATGGCCTGCATGGCTTCTGATAAGAAATTGGCTGTCAGATTTGTCTTTGTCTCCCTGAATATAATGTATCTTTTTTCCTCCGGGCATTTAAGATTTTCTCTTTATCACTGATTTTTAGCAATTTGATTACCATTTGCCTTAGAGTGGTTTTCTTTGTTTCTTCTGCTTGGAGTCACTGAGATTCTTGGATATATCTGAAAACTGTTGCTTGATATATATTTTTCGGTTTACTAGCTGTTTACAATGAAAGTTCAATGCCCATGGCAGATGTCTTAGTCTGTTTGTGCTGCTATAACAAAATGCCATAAACTGGGTGGTTTATAAACAACACAAATGTATTTCTACAGTTCTGAAGGCTGGGAAGTTAACAATCAAAGTGCTAGCAGATTTGGTGTCTGGTGAGGGCTGCATTCTAGTTCATAGATGGTGCCTTCTCTCTGTGTCCTCACCTAGTGGAAGGCATGAGGCAGCTCTCCGGGACCTCTTTTATAAGGACACAAGTTCCATTCATAAGGGCAGAGCCCTCAAGATTTAATCTACTACCAAAGACCCACTTTCTGATACCGTAACATAGATGGTGAGGTTTCAGCATATTAATTTTGGAGAAACATGAACGTTCAGACCATAACAGCAGGTAATATTTCATGTGTGGAATTAGAAGTCTTATTTTGTTATTATTGGTAGAAGAAGGCTTTCTTAGCTTATAATTCATTATTAAACTTGTTATTAAAAATGTCTTCTAAAATTTTAGGATTTTGTTGTCAAATTTGAGAAAACTTCTTTCATTTTTTTCTCGACTTAGCCACATACTTTCAGTGCCCAGCACCATAGGACTCATTCATTTACCATGATCACCTCTGGACCTGTATCTTTGTGCATGATTCTAGATGAGTCAGTACCCAGGATGATAGAAGTATTGCTAGAAGCCAGTCTTGAATTTCCTTGGCTAGTTATAATGTAACCATATACAAGACTCTGCAGACCACATAAGCCTATCCCATTAAATCCAAGCTAAATATATCCCTAACTCAACCTCCATTTAGCTGTTTTTTATTTCTTAGAAATGGGGTCTCACTCTGTCATTCAGACCAGAGTGCAGTAGGTCAATAATACCTTACTGTAACCCCAAATCCCTCAGTTCAAGCAAACCCCCTGCCCCAGCCTCTCAAGTATCTAGGACTAAAAGTGTGTCCCACCACACCTGTTTAATTTTTAAAATTTTTTTGTAGAGAAGGGGTAACACTATATTGCCTCGGCTAGTCTCAAACTCCTGGCCTCAAGCAATCCTCCTGCCTGGGCCCCCCAAAGCACTAGGATTACAGGCATGAACCACCATGCCCAGATAGGTGGACATTAACATTCACGTAGCCACTCCAGCATATCACACCTCATACCATGAGGAGAAGTAATGGAGAAGCCGTATTGAAAAGAGACACTGGTATTCATTACTTTTAAAAATTTTACAAAAGTGTATGATCACTAAATACAATGGTTGTGTTTTTCTCTGGGCCTTGGGAGGGGTTTGTGCAGAGAAGCCCTGTCACTTACCCTTCATTCACTTTACACTAATTCTGCTCTGACTTTACCATGGTGTTTTAAAAGCAGGATCATTCTATGTCACATACCAATTCAAGATTTTGGAATTATCGATTCACAAGTAAAATCTTGGCTGTATTACAAAATTGTTCAGCACTGAAATCAGGAATGAGGAAACATACTCTTGTTGTGATTCTTACTTCAGCTATCTGCTTCTGACAAAATCCAGGTCAGTACGCAGTTACATACCGTTTCCCCAGCCTTGTGAAAAAAAAATTAAGTTTAGTAGAGATTTGGGTTAAGGCAAAAAAAAAAAAAAAATCCCTTTGCAGCTTAGAGGTCTTAATGATTATAAAACAAAAATAAGCAAAAATTTTCATTCAAAAGTAGAAAGTGTGTGTTTCATTTTACCTTTGTACTTAGTAAGTGGTATCATTCTCACTTGTTTGTTGTGTCATTTGTCCCCTCAGTCTGTCACTTAGAAATAATGAAGATACAAACTTGATTTTCACAAGTTGGTTTGCTACAGTATAGCCCCCCAAAGTAATTGGGCTTTTATTAGTTTTTATTGCAAGTATTTCAGTTTTAACAGCTTTGATAGCAACCATATCTTAATTTTTTCTCTTATAAAAATACTGAGAATCCCTTTTCATAAACAATTGTTTCTTTAAAGATGACTTTATCAACATGGTAATAGTCTTTAAGTTTCCGATGTGGTGCTGCTTAGTCCCTCATAAAGGACAAA